AGGGTTAGTTGAATTTATGCAAAAGTGAAGGGATGCTGTTCGGTTTTCAGGGAAAGAGAAAAAAAGCCACTCCGACTAAACCCACCTTTTCTTTTTTGGCCTTTGTTGGTTTCGAATTTCCTAATACCAAATCGAACATGCGAAAATCGTAGACCTTCAATAACAACATAAATTTTTGCTACTGTAAATTTACTATTACGTACCCTTGCTCCTGGTTGTTTGGCTTTTTCGTCTAGCGCCTTTTTGATCTTCAGCAGGCTCTCATAGCTCTCGTTCCACTTGGATTTCCTGAAATGATTTATCCAAGGAAAAGTGATGTAATTTGAAAGTTTCCAACTTTTTTGGGTAAGCGCTCTCCTCTTCTGGACGAACTGCAGCTCTCACCAACCGTGCTAGACGTCTGACAGCCGACTTCTCGGTTCGAGGTAAAAGTGATGGGGCACGATCCATTTTTACCACCTCGAAAATTCTACGACATTTATTGACGGGGTCTGAGAACCTATGAAAATTAAGTGAGCTTGCCTGAAATCCATTTGAATCACTCTTGCTGATCTTGTCTATCACAAGACGATGTGGACTTCTTTTTGCACGTCGTGAACGGTATCGTCGTAACTTTTCCTCAGCTTTTTCTAGACGTTTCTTAAAAAGTTAGATGAGTTTCAAAACTTCTGTAGGCGAGTTTACCTTGTAATTTTTCCGCAAAAATTTTTTGTACTTTCTTTTGCGGTTTTTCTTCGGTAACATCAAAAGTCTTGGTGGATTAGTGACAGATGAGGATAAAATCTCGGACAGCGAGGGTTTATGAATATAGAGAGGCCTAAAACAGAATGAGTGATCGTATAGAACTCCAAATTCATTGAAGAGGCACCTCCTCCTTCTAAATAGTGTAAAAGGCGACTTTATAACATCTTTCGATCCATGATTTCCATCTATAGCAGGCAATTTTTCCAGCGAAAAAGACCTGAATGCCCTATTTTGTCGGTTGCAAGTGAAAATAAATTAAATGAAAACTCCTTTTTATTGGCGTACTTCACTTTCATGTCCTCGTAGCCCTCTTTTGCTTCAACCAAACATCGCGCGGCACTAACCAAATCTTTTTTGTCAGTGATTGCATTCAAACAACGTAGAAACTGCCGTCTACTGCCTGCAACAAAATCCCTC